TGGAGGGGGGGGGGGGGAAAAGCCTGTAGAGCATCCCCTGTCAGTGTGTGGGGGACCAAACCGCAGGGTAACCATGGTAACCAAAGGGGCAATATGTTGGGGCTGCCATTTTCCAGCCGGGGGATGGTAACAGAGGTTCCTGCTGCTTAGCTACCACAGCTACTAAACCAACCCATCCGCTCAACTGCTGAAAAGTACCAGGCTCTGGGGGGGGGGGAAAAGCCTGTAGAGCATCCCCTGTCAGTGTGTGGGGGACCAAACCGCAGGGTAACCATGGTAACCAAAGGGGCAATATGTTGGGGCTGCCATTTTCCAGCCGGGGGATGGTAACAGAGGTTCCTGCTGCTTAGCTACCACAGCTACTAAACCAACCCATCCGCTCAACTGCTGAAAAGTACCAGGCTCTGGAAGAAGGGAAAACATGGCGACTCTGTGCCAGTGACTTGAGAAGCAAACACCCGATCGGGATGAGTAGGATGACTGGTGGAAAATCTGCTGCCTTGAAGTGTTACCATCTCTCGGGGAGAAAACACACTTTTGGGCCATGAACTCATTTAGGCAAGTGCTAGTAGGCCTTCCCACCCCACCCCAAGAGAAGCATGTGCATCTTCTGCTGCAGAGAAAACTCTGGTGAGCGGCTCTCTTCAATCTTTGTAGAGATAAAATGCACTTGAAAGCTCAGGGAACCAAAGAGAAACAGGCATAGCGAGTGCTACTCTTCTCCGTAGGAGAAACTAAGAGCTCTCCTCTCCAGAGCTCAGCAAATTCTTGGGAGCTCAGTACTAAATTCAACCCACATTCTGTGTTTCCAGGAATGGAAATATTTCTTGTAGAAAGCGGCTCTCTCTGTTTAAAAAGTATTATGGCCTGCTCTGGACAATGGGGGCAGGCAGTAGGAACTGATCTAACCAAATTGTTTTCCATTTTCTTTCTCGGCTTGCCTTTCGGAAGTAACCCATTTCCAGGGCCCCCTCCTCCAGACGCCATTAGATGGCAGTGCAGAATTAATCTGAATTCCTGCTCGGCCACAAAACTGATGCAGTCTGCAGAAGGGACCCAGCAAAGGACAGTTACAATAAAGAAACATGATTTGGGATCGGTTACGATTTGGGGTTTAATCCGCTCCACAATTGCACACCTCACTTTAAAAGAATGGGGCCCAGATGTCCTTTTTGTAGGCAAATATATCTGCATCGCCAATCTGATGCAATGTTGACCAATGAAGTATTGTTAAGATCACATGTAGATATTTCCAGAATAAAGAAGGGACTTTTGTCTCTGCAGTTCTGAAGACAAGGACCTGGGGATTACAGTGGATGAGAAGCTGGATATGAGTCAACAGGGAGTCCTTGTAGCCAAGAAGGTTAATGGCACATTGGGCTGCTTTAGGAGGAGCGTTGCCAGCAGATCTAGGGGAGTGATTGTTCCCCTTTATTCAGCATTGGTGGGGCCACATCTGGAGTATTGCATCCAATCCTGCCCCTCCCCCCCACTACGGCAAGGATGTGGACACATTGCAGAGAGTCCAGCGGAGGGCAACCAAAATGATGAGGGGGCTGGAGCACATGACCTATGAGGAGCAGCTGAGGGATTTGGGTTTGTTTCATCTGCAGAAGAGAAGAGTTGGGGGGGATTTGACAGCAGCCTTCAAACCTACATGAAGGGGGGTTCCAAAGAGGCAGGAGAGAGGCTGTTCTCAGTGGTGACAGATGGCAGAACAAAGAGCAATGGTCTCAAGTTGCAGTGTGTGTGTGTGTGGGGGGGGGGCCTAGGTTGGATATTAGGAAAAACTATTTCCCTAGGATGGTGGGGAAGCACTGGGACGGGTTCCCTAGGGAGGGGGTGGAATCTCCATCCCTAGAGGTTTTTAAGTCCTGGCTTGACAAAGCCCTGGCTGGGATGATGTAATTGGGGTTGGTCCTGCTTTGGGCAGGGGGTTGGACTCAGTGTCCATCCGAGGTCTCTGCCAAGCCTAGAATTCTATGGTTCTTTAGACTGGTACAAGCTGCGTATTTCATGAGCATTCAACTCACACTGAAAAAAGAAGACAATCACAATCTTAATTAAAATTAACGGGAAACAGATTTCCAAATCCTTTAGGCAATTCTAAACTTCTCCCCACTTCCTTTTTGAACAATTGTGCAGTTTGACACTCCTAGTGAGGCTATTCAGTGTATATTTCTGCAGCTGCTAAGATCTGGTAGATTTGTTTACTGGCCAGCTTCCCCCAGTTTTCTTTCATAATTTTGGGACTCCTTATATCATATACCCTTGAAACCTTGCAATTGAATTGCGCCTCTGCTAAGTGTTTTCCCTCTTTTGCATGCTAACCCTATTCAGGTAGTGTAGAGTGGTTTGTGTTTAAAAATATAACAATAATAAAAACACATTTAAAAACACATAAGATCAAATGAAAAAGCTGAAACCATAATCTTAACTTTAACAAAATGTACCTTCAACTGTAGCATGGAGTTGATTAGAATTACCAAAAAATCTGTCCCTTCTCTCCTCACCCCAAATAATGGGGAAACATATTTCCAAGTTTTTTTTTCCATTTTCAACCAACTATAGAACTTACAAAGTTTTTAAAAATCAATTGCTTTTAAGATTTTGAAAAATGGAAACATTTAGAACAAACCAACTAACAACGTGCAGTTCCCCCATCTCTAGTGCGGTGGCAAATTCCTACCCACTGACAGTACAGCCATTGTACCCATTATCCAGAAAAGCAGGTGATAACTAGGGGGCCAGTGAGATCCTTACTGACAACCATTTCTTTAGGCTGAGAAGACTGTGGCGTGCTTTTTGTCCGGCTAGTTAATCCTCTCCTTCATACGGAGCACTACAGCAGAATATAACAGGGCCGAGAGAGATGGTTATGTGTCCAAAAACAACCACATTAGGAACAGGTGGACAAAACCCAAACCCTGAAACGTTACCGAGTGATGCAGGATTCCGACTGTGTCTTGTCCTGTACTTTGTGGTACACTACGGCAGCCACTGCCAACGGCCCAGCATCCCCACACAAGAAGGTGATGGAGCGTCTTGTCAGACAACTCAAGCTCTTCTTCGCATAGGCCTCTGCCACCTGGAGGTAGGAAGGCTCTCCATACACATCATATAGGTGCAAGTAAAGCAAAGCAATGCCTGCAAAGAAAGAAATGGGGTAAGCCCAGGGGACGGATCAGCTGTTCTATTGGCCTCCCCTGGCACGATTTACTTTTGTTGCTCAAACACATGAAAACCTGGCTGCTTATGGCGGAGACAAAAACATTCAACAGATTTATTGACCAGCTTATCTCCACTGGGACATTAATATCTTCCTGTGTCTCGTGCAGTTTGGCCACTGGTTGAGTTTGGGCACGTCTCTTCACCGCTGGGTCTCTGTTTCCTCATCTGTAAATTGGCAATAATCGTGAATTGTACCAAGTAACTTCGTAACATTCTTTTAGACCAGCAGCTCTCATGCGGGAGTCTAGAACCCCCACAAGGCGGTGAGCAGGTTTCAGAAGGGCTCACTAGACACACTATGGCCCAGAGCAGAAAGCCAAAACCCCACCATGCAGGGTTGCACCCGCAGATGAGGCCAAAGCCATGGGCAACTTAGCTTTGTAGTGTAGGTTGGGCATTAGGAAAAACGTCCTAACGGTCAGGGTGGTTAAACACCAGAATAAATTGCCTAGGGAAGTTGTGGAATGGAGTTGTCAATGGAGATATTTCAGAGCAGGTTGGATAGACATCTATCAAGGATGGTCTGATCAGTGTTTCTTAAACTGTGTTCTGCGAGGCAGTCGGAGGTATGCCGCAGAGAACAACAGAGTTCAAAATGGCTGCCCTTAAAGGGGCAGGTGACTTTTTTTGGGGGGGGGAGGAGGGGGCTCAACAAAAAAACCCTTGGTGTTCCTCACAAAAAAAAAACTGTTTGGTGTTCCTCGGTCTTCAAAAGTTTAAGAAACACTGGTCTAGATGGTGCTTGGTCCTTCCATGAGGGCAGGGGGCTGGACTTGATGACCTCTCGAGGTCCCTTCCAGTTCTAGTGTTCTATGATTCCTTGCCCTCTAGGGCCTGGGGCCTGAATAATTATCCTGCTTTCCCTTTATATGAAGCAAAACAGTTTTTGTGGCACAGCTGGGCTGTGGAGATTTTATAGTATTTTGGGGGGGGGGGGGCAGACTGAAAAAGGTTGAAAACCGCTGGTTTAGATCTACCACTGAGAAGCCCTATATAAAAGGGATTATTATAATGTATTTGATTAAACAGACAGTCCCCCTCTCCTCCCGCCAAATAGCAACAACAAACAAACAAGCATTGGTGGGAGGCAAGAAAACATTTGCAGTAGAGCAGCTGTTCTCACCCTCAACCACCCTGGGACACCCCTTTCCATATCAGGGTGCTTCTCCTCTGTCTGGGACCTTCCTGCCATCAAGCAATATGGGGATGTCGGGGTGCTGGCAATTGCCTAACCTCTCTTGGTGACCCCTAAATTGGAGAAGCCGTGGGCTAAACTGGGCCTTTATAGAGGAGGGAGAGATGGAGAACGGATTTTATTTCTCTCTGCACAGAGAATCGGCTCTTTTCAGGAAACAATATTGTACACAAAGAGAGAATTCCTTCACACACACGCACCACCCGCTAGTTCTGAGTGCAGCCCTTGTCTGAAAAGACAAAGCTATTCAAGGGCCAGGAAAATGCATTCTTCAGCCCCCGCCTCTTCCAGACAGCTGCTGCTAAAAGGCTAGGGCACAGGTTTTGCCCGGAGCCTTGTTCTGCCAGTCGCTCATCTTGCGCTTGAAGCCTGTTCTACATAACCGAGGAGTCATCAGCTTGTTCTTATTAGGATACATCTAGCAAGGAGGTTCTATTTGGAAGTCACCCTCAAAAGACTTGGTGGGCGCAGGGCATCCTCGAGGAATATGTATCACAGAAGCTAGTGGCCTGCATCACTTCCAGAAAAATCTCTCTGCGCCCTTTACAGTATGCTTTCCATCTCATTAACCATTTCTAAGACACAGGTCCTGTGCTTAAGCTTAAATTAATAGAGCCCATCTCGGCAGATTTCAATGCTGTTAAAAAAAAAAAAAAAGCAGCCTGAAAAATTACTTTCCACTGTATTGGGAACAATTTTAAATTTAGATCATTTTCTCATTTTGCATGGGTAATCTCCAAAGCTTCATGCTACAGACAGTTCAATTTCACATGTATATTAAGGGCAAATTTCCATTTCCTGCCAAAGTTAATAACGTTGTCCTCTCTCTAAACAGCTCGGTGTTCGTATTTCCACAGAGAACTCAGATGGGCAATACATCATTCAAATTTGTGAGGGCATGGACACCAAGCTCTTTTAAAAGGGGAATATTCACATACGAGGTAGCAAACCTGTTTCTCCGTGACCATTTAGTACCTAGCATCAGCTTAATAGGCCGAACAGCACTTTGCACAGCTCATGCTATGGAGTTTCCAGTTTTAATATTCACTTTATAAGCAACTGCTATGTGAACAAACTTAGCTGTTTGTATAACTACCACGGCAGGAGTAATGCTAAAGTTGAAGAATGGAAAAATAAAAAGAACCACGTGAGTTTTTCTCCCAACTCCTTCTTCCCCATTGCTCCCCAAATCTCTTTAGCACCTCCCTCCCACGCATTCTGAACAATGGAAAATTGTTTTAAACTGGATTCTTTTGGAGAAAGCTGCAAAAGCATCAAACGCGGGTAGATTTGCGAGGTTTTGCATAATTGGAAATGACGCCACCACTTTCCAGGCGGTACATTTTCTCTATCCCAAAAGATTTTAAAATCTAGTCTACAAATGATTTCCCTAGAACAACACCCAGCATGAGCAGGTGACCTGAAGCAAGTATATTTTGACAGGGATAGGGTTACACCCATGACAGACTAAATATATACGAGCATCAAATGTGCATTGACCCATGATTAAGATCTGTTCAATGTGCATTTGAAGCAGCATAGCTGGAAGGCGGAGTATGGGGTTGGGAATCAGGCAGTCCTATGATAATCTCAGCATTGCCACACACACTCAGCATGGTTTTGGGCAAGTCACTGGGCCTCCCTGCGTCTGTCTGCAAAATAAGGGGAAATACCTCACCTCCCAAATTTGCAAGGCAGGCTGGAGATGAGCTAGAGAACATTTGCAATATTCTTCAAATGTGTCAGGTGCCAGACAAGAGTTAATGCTCACATAATGAGGGAAAGGGGGGATCAAACCCCCCAGCTTTGCATCGCTGGAGACCTGGCTTCAGTTGAATTGCTTCAGACATACGTGGCTGCCTCACTCCAACTCCCATTTGTGCCCATCTGAACTACTACACAGCTGGCCTGCCACAGCAGAGCTCTGTGAGATTTCTTCTAGACAGGCGTGATGGTGATCAGGGTAGTATCTGAAGTGGAGCATCTTCCTGGTGGGCAGTAAACAACATGGCTCACAGAGACCATGCGGGGTTGGTTTTTTCTCTAAAGATTCCCACAGGGGCACCAGTGTGTATGCACTGGAGTGTTCTAGTTGGTAGAATTTTGTTTTGGGAGGCTGTGTTGGAACAGACGGGCATCTATACAGTGAGATCCAAAGGGCAACAAACATGATTAGGGGTTTGGAATGGGTCCCGTATGAAGAGAGATTAAAAAGACTGGGACTTTTCAGCTTAGAAAAGAGGAGACTAAGGGGGGATAGGACAGAGGTCTATAAAATCATGATTGGCATGGAAAAAGCGAATAAGGAAAAGTTATTTACTTATTCCCACAATAAAAGAAGTAGGGGTCACCCAATTAAATTAATGGGCAGCAGGTTTAAAACAAATAAAAGAAAGCTTTTTTTCACTCAACGGACAGTCAATCTGTGGAACTCCTTGCCAGAGGATGTGGTGAGGGGTAGGACTTTAACAGGGTTCAAAAAAGAGCTAGATAGATTCATGGAGGTTAGGTCCATCAATGGCTATTGGCCAGGCTGGGTAGGAATGGTGTCCCTAGCCTCTGTTTCTCTGGAGGTGGGTGACAAGGGAGGGATCACGTGATGATTACTTGTTGTAATCCCTCCCTCTGGGGCATCTGGTATTGGCCACTGTTGGCAGACAGGATACTGGGCTAGATGGACCTTTGGTCTGACCCAGTATGGCTGTTCTTATGTTCTTGTTCTTGCAGCAACTGCTCTAGCCATTAATAGCAGCAAGTAACAGCGGAGTTGTGAAATGTTTTAGTTTGCTTACCACCTCGTCGCAGTTTAGGTACGTCTGGTTGGATCTTCCCAAAAGATTATTGTGCGCACGCCCCCACACATGAAGCTGAGACATTACTTTAGCAATACGCTGAGTTCAGGGCTTGTGAATGGTGCTGGATTGTTACCTGCAGGCCACTGTGATAGACTACATAGGGACAGCACAACCAGCAGCAATGCAAACTTCCCCAACTTGAGCCATGCCGCCTCTGAACAGAAGGGATCTATGGCCAGGGAACAGCATACTGTCAATATCAACTCAATCTTGATCTCCTTGTGCAGAGAGCTGCTAAGGACACCAATTAGACAGTAATTTCCAGCATGCAAACTCCAGTCCACTAACTGAACTGCAGTAAGCTTACGTAACAAAGGTTATGACACCGCCATGACATGAGGGAATTTTTTTGGTGATTAACTTGGATCAGATTTAAACTTGTGATCTGGAGGAAGAAAAGGCTTCACACTCCTTCCATCAGCCCTGAAAAGCAAACCATCCAGTGCCCTCAAGGCAGGAAGTTATAAATGGGGGGAAATCCACTTAGTGGCACCTAGTAGAAAATACAAAGTTGTTTTAATTGAACTAAGGCTGGGGGATCGTGCACTGGGCATACAGAGGATGCTGCTATGCTCCCAAGATCACAAGCATTTGTAATGTTCTTTAACATCCAGTACCAAAATGTACAGAACCATTTCACTGAATCTGAGGGTAGGTAGAGACGTCAGGAGGTCATCGAGTCCAACCCCCCTGCTCAATGCAAGACTAAATCAACCCTGCCGGAGCTTTGTCAAGCCGGGACTTAAAAACCTCTAGGGATGGAGATTCCACCTCCTCCCTAGGGAACCCATCCCAGTGCTTCACTGCCCACCTAGTGAAATAGTTTTTCCTAATATCCAACCTAGACCTCCCGCACTGCAATTTGA